AGTCCATGAGATAGTCTCGTCATTGTAGATTCTAAGGAACATTCTGGCTGTGCTTGCGCTAAGGCAGGTTTGTTCATTATTCTGGCAGTCTGTGATATATTCAACCCTCTTCACCAACATCAAAATGCAAACAAACCAATTCTCCTTCCATCTAATGCATTGCCCAGACTTTATGTTCCTATGAGGAGATGAAAAATGCCATAGCTTTGTCAGGTGAACCATAGAACCCCCCGGGTGATGTCTTTGCTTCAGAACATTAAGAGGTCTGTTACATTTGCCCAATGTAACACTTCATTAGATTTCTTTCTCTTTTTTTTCCATTTGATTTCTTGACTGATGTTTCCATGGGCACTGAGTGTGGATCCAAGAAAAATCAAATCCTTAGCAATGTCAGTTTCTCTCTATGTTTTATTGTGATTTGGGCAGAGGTTTACAGAGTCGATCACCATGGCACATTTGACTCATGTGCATTCTCTCTTACCTCATTCATGTTAAGCCCCTGAATGTTATATCGACCATCCCACCTCCTCCCTGTGTCTCCTGTCTCTATTCTTTCCTTTTTACTAACCCTCTCCTAACCATTCTGAACTTTGTACTTAAGTAGATGCTGCCCCCTTGATCCCAAATGGTCGATAACGAGGTGTGTACCTCATTAGTGTTATTGTTCCCTTATAGTCCTGCCTATGACTTGACAATGAGGAGTTCATTTATAGATCTAAAGGATGGCCAAGAGTCTTGGGGGTTCCATCACTTCCTATCCAACCAGTAAGCCTGGTCTCTTTTATGATTTTGTCTTGTTCCACATTTTTTTCCCTCCCAGTCTAACCAGGACCTTCTAATGTGATTGTTTTTAGGAACTTTGGTAGTGGTAGTCAAGTACCATCTAGTTCTTCTGGTCTCAAGGACATGGAGACTAATGCTCTTGTGGCTCATTAGTCCTTGGATCTAATTGTTTCTAGGGGTCCTTACCTTTCATCATTTTTCTTTCTTCCTGACAGAAAGCGAGCAGTAGCTGTGCCGGAGGTGGCTGTTCAGACAACACTGAGCTGGTCTGTCTATCATGATGCTACTCATTGGTCCATTTGTGAAGGTTTTTGTTTCCTTTACGTTGACGTATAATCCATACTTTTGTCCTTGATCGTTAACAGTAAGCACTTCAAGGCCTCTTCTCTTTCCGCAAACAAGTTGGTGTCCTCTGCATATTGGAGTTTGTTAGTTTGTTAGTTTGTTAGTTAGGCTTCCTCGGATCCTGATAATGAGTTCTTCTTCTTGACCTCTCTGCTCAGCATACAGGTTAAAGGACTGTGGTGAAAGGATACATCTCTGATGGGTACCTTTCCTGATTTTAAACTATAAATACTCCCTTGTCTTGTTCCTAGATTGTCCCCATCTATGGATAGGTTCCTTGTAAGCAAAATGAAGTGCTCTGGAAATCCCATTCTTTGGTATGTGATTCATAATTTACTATGACCCATAAAGTTGAATATCTTGGATCATCGATAAGACATGGATGAACATCTTCCTGGGGTTTTTTGCTTTCAATCACGATTCATCCAACATCAACAATGGTATTCTTCATTCTGTGCCATCTTCTAAATCTGGCTTGAATTTCTGACAGTCCCCTGTGAACGTATGGATGCAAACATGTTTGAATTATCTTCAGCAAAGTTTTATTTGTGTGTCATAGGAATGGCCATGTGCTATAATTCCCACCTTAGGTTGGATCACCTTTCTTTGGAATAGGGACACTGTGAGTGGGCCAGGTATCAATCTTCCAAATGTCTTGGCATCCATGAATGAACAATTCAAGTGTGGCATTCATTTACTGAAACATTCATTTGTTGGAGTCTCTGGGATGCTCAAGCAATGAAGTGTTCATCTACTAGCCTTAAGTAGGAGATTCAAACTCACTTAGCAGCCCCTCAGGAGACAGGTCTGGCAATTGGTTCTGAAAATCCTACAGAGCAGTTCTACTCTGCCACATGTGGGGTTTCCATGAGTCAAAGTCAACTTGACATCAGTTAACAACAACTTATAGAATGTCTAATAGGCCTGGAGTCCTCATTGATCTGACCCATTCCTGCATGACTTCAGAGCCTGATACCTGATTGTTCCTGGATGAACTTTGTCATTTGGGCTTCTTTTTGACGTATGGTGTGGATAATTATTTTCACCTTCCAGCATCCTGTCTTTCCTGTTAAGAAGACCTCTATTTACTTTAGCAGGCCCATCGCTTGCCTCCTCTTCAATCCAGTGCATTAGGTGGAGCAGATCCCATTCCTGGATCCAGGAGTGTCATTGTAGAGTCAAGGCAGGGCCAGGGGGAGCATCCCAATCTCAGGCAAAGTGATAAGTAAGGAAAGGTGACCTGTATTAAACCAATCTAATGAGAACCCACCCCGGTGGTGGGATTAAACTAGCTTAACAATCAGTTCGATGCTCTAATGAAAGTTTTAAAAAGATATACTGAGGTAGATAATTATTTCATCCAGTCATTATTGAAATAAGAAAAATAAAGGGGGCATGCAAAACTAGATTATGTTATAAGAAATTCAAAGCATTAATGAAAAATTAAGTAATACCTGACCCAAACCAATAAACTGTTACTTAAAATATTTCCATATTGCTGCTTGATTGGTATATCCATTGCAACATCCTTTGCTTTTATTGAAGCATCATTGGCTGTGGGATTTCTCCTTAACTGTCTTTTCACTGTAGGAGTAGGATCCCATTCCTTTAGAAGAAGGCCTATTAGATAATCACCTATTAGATAATTCTATTTGATATATTAGAAACGGGCAACTTCTCTTCCCTGAACATATTATGCTCATCTTTGAAAAATTCCTTTCCACTTCTGGTGAACTTAAAAAAATTGCTCTGACAATTTTTTCAGCTTTTTTTTTTCCAGCTTTTTGAACACTTTCAGGAATTGCAGAATTCCCTCATAATCTCCTGTGGGAATTTGGGGTGTAGCACAAAGTTGAGACGAATGACAGCACATGACCCTCTGGTTGACAGTTTTTCTCTTCATGTTATATGCTTGTTTGCTGAAGTAAAAGAATGCAAGGGAATAAAATGTAATATTCCATCATAAGTATAATGAGCTTTATGAAATGAATAACTAAATATTACAAGCATAGTCGCATCTAACTTTTTATACTTATGGATGGGATGAACACCCCTATCAGCACTCGAATATGCTATTGTGCCACAGATGAACGTTAAAAAGGTAAGACATGTAAATTTGTGATTTCGACATCAGATGGCTGTCCACCCACCCACCTTTGAGAGAACCCTGGTTACAAGTGCTATTCTAACAGCCCATTTTATGAGTTCCACTAAAAAAATAGGTATGGCTCTGCCTAACTGGTGGGAACCAGGTGAATTCCACCACTGAGTTACACTGAACATTTGTTGGGACTAAAGAGAGGAGGAGTTTAGTCTACAGTGCTGGGAATGCTGTCTGGCCTGCGTGAGAAGAAAGCGTACCTGAGAAGGCAGCCGGTTCTGGACACGGCAGGGAGTACCAGGCTGATTATGTGTGCCTGAAGCTGGGGTCCCTCTGGACATTTTCATCAGCGTGGTCAAACTCCTTTTCCCTTTAGCCCAGTCAAGACGGATGCCTCTTCGGAACCCAGAACATCCGAATTGAGAAATGTTCCTTTGTTCAGTTCTGTGGTTCTTTATATATTGTTCCATTGACATCTAGCTTGTCTGGGGGTGCCTCTTTCCCTCTCTCACTTACTAATACAGTCATCCCCCCTGTAGCGTGGGTTGCCCTGGTGAACTGTTTAAGCAATTCTCAAGTCTACCTACTGTTCAGTGATGGAAAAAGGTTCAGGATGAGGAATGAAATACCCAGCTCACTTTTGAAACCCCATCGCGGAACGCAAAGTTGACTACATTGAAGCTAACTCTTCAGAGTCCACTCTAACTATGGCTAAGACACATTTAAGCATTACTCTAGGCCAGCGGTCAGCAAACGTCTGAGATGGAAGAACCAATTCTGTCCCTCACAGACAGCAATTTTAAATTTATTTTAAATTTGTATATTTATACTTATATATATGTAAATATACATATTTTTTACAAACAGATGAAATCACCATTATCTGAGTAATAGTTTTATTTTCATTTTCAATTTCAAATAGCTTTATTTTTATTTTCAACTTTACTTCAGAACCACATATATGTACCGAAAGAGCCCCTTATGGCTTGGGAGTTGCAGTTTGCCAGCCTCTGCTCTAGGCAGTGCCACATTAACCAATAGACAAGGGTGTAAATCTAGACATGCTTATGCTTGCTTACTAAGAGGGGTTTCATCAAAATGTGATTTAAGCGTGTGAAAATGTTTACTACAGATCAGTGAATAGGCACAAGTAGTGGACTCATGATTATCTTGCTTAGTGGGTACTCCATTCCAGTCAGGGATTATACATTTTAAAGGAAGCTGTGATTCTGTAGGAAGATGGAGAGTTTTGGAGAGAGACAGATGTCACCCAGCCATACCTAGAAGCAGAATTTTTGATGTGGTAAAACAAACAAACAAACAAAACCCAAGCAAACGGAAATTGTTCACTACAGATTAGTACGCAAACACGAGCAAGCCTGGGCTTTCTTTGCTTCCTGGATCATCAAACACTCACTTTTGGGTCCCTTTCAAAGGATGCGCAGCAAAAGCGCCGCCCCACCAAGCCCATGGCACTCATGGTGAGTACTAGAGCAGAGATGCCCCCCATAGGGTTGGAGTGGCGGATAGTTTGGTAGGCAAATTTCCAGACCTTTCTTTTGTAGCACCTCTTGATGTGCTCACTTAGCAACCAAGTGCACGAACTGTTTGCATCACCTCGGAACGCTCTGCGGCATGATAAATTAGGAAATGAAAGGGGGAAGGAGGATGGGAGGGATGAAGAAAGGAGAAATGACGATGGGGCAGGACATGGACCCAATTCTCACGCCTCTGTCTCCCACATAAGCACAATGTCAACGTGGCCGCTGTCATGGCTTCTCCACTAAACTGCATCATCGCTGTGTTCCAAAAACTGGGCATCAGCAAGAACGGAAACCTCCCCTGGCCCATGCTCAGGAATGAACTCCAGTATTTCCAGAGCATGACCACAACCTCTCCCCCTTCAGTAGAAGGTAAGCCAAAGTTGGTGATTGTGGGTCGGAAACCCGAGGTCTCCATTCCTAAGAATAAATCTTTGAAAGATAGACTTAATGTAGTGCTCAGTAGAGAACCCCAGGAAATCCCACAGGGCACTCATTTTCTTGCCAAAAGTCTGGATGGTGCCTTAAAACTAATTGAACAACCAGAATTAGGAAGTAAAGCAGACATGGTTTGGATCATAGGAGGCAGTTCTGTTTACAGGGAAGCCATGGATCAGCCAGGTCATGTCAGCCTGTTCATGACAAGGATCAAGCAGGAATTTGAAAGGCACACATTTTTCTTTTCTTGAAATGGATTTAGAGAATCCCAAACTTCTCCCAGAATAACCAGGTGCTCTTTCTGATGTCCAGGAAGAAAATGGCATTAAGTATAAATTCGAAGTATATGAAAAGAATAACTAATATGAAGGAATTTTTATCACTTATTTCAAATTTCCATATATGTTATCTATTATGTTGGCAAAGATTATTGTAGTATACAGAGACTGTTCTGCATTGTAAGTCGTTACAACCATTTTAAAGCAAAAATCAGTACTAGCAACTAAAATTCAGAACGTGATCGTTTTGTACCTAGAAATTCTACTTCCAGAAATGAATTCTGAGCAACTAGGAATCAGTGCTGCGTAGGAATTACAAAGCACAAGAAAACATTGATACCTGGGACATGAGCAGAAGAACTGCGTCTGGAATTTCTGAAATGTACCGCTCAACCAGCCAACCAATAGAAATTGATATATAGTCCAACTGATAAATAAATAAATGCAATATCCAGCCATCTTCTCCTGGGGGGCACACATTAGGACAGCCTTTCAAGCTGGAATGTTGTAGAACGGACCTAATGGCCCTAAGCCTGGCTCAGCCTGCGTTAGCTATGCTTTCAAGTTCTCACTTGAATTTTCCCAAGAGTTTTCCTTGCAGCCCCGTTCATTAACTAGCAGGTCTGTTCTCCCCAACCTCGTTACCACCACTCACCTGCCAGCCTGTGCGTTGCTGTCATGCTGGAAGCAATATCAACGGCATACCAAATACAGTAGGGTCACCCATGGTGGACAGGTTTCAGCAGAGTTTGTAGACTAAGAAGAGACTAGGAAGGACTAGGCATCTACTTTCCAGGGCACAGATAGACAGGATCATGATAAAGAAACGCTTAACGTTGTCAAGGATTTTGTTTTACTTGGATCCACAATCAAATTCATAGACGCAACAGTCAAGAAATCAAACAACGTATCACACTGGGCAAATCTGCGGCACCTCTTAGTAAAGCAAACATGTCACTTTGAGGACCAAACACATGTATCCCAAGCCGTGGGATTGTCAATGGCTTCATATACCTGTGAATGCTAGACAACAAATCAGGAAAACTGGAAAACACAGATGCATTTGAATTACAGTGTTGGTGAAGAAAGTAGTGTAAAGGACCAAAAGAACAACTGTCTTAAAGGAAGTACAGCCACAGGAGCCCTTGAAATGAGAATGATGAGGCTCTGCCTCACGTACTGTGGACATTTTCTCGAGAGAGGACAGTGCCTGCGACAATACACCATGATGATTAACGTAGAGGGTCGGTGTAAAAGAAGAGGACTCTCTAAGTATAGATCCGCTTAGTGACCGCAGCAAGCATAACAATTATGAAGACGGCGCAGGACTGCTAAGGTTCTGTTCTCGTGAGCACAGAGTCACCAGGGGTTGGAACACACACAATGACACCTAACAAGAGTCCCGCTCCCAAATTTTCCCATCATGTCAGCTTGCATCCCCTCTTTGTCCCCCATGGCTCCTTGCACCCTTCTTTGGGCTCCAGAAAGCATGTAGCCCTTACAAGATGGCACATATATTAAGCAGAGAGAGGATCACTGCTGGAAGCTATAAGGAGAGAGTGACAAGATATCCAAGAGGATTACCGAAATAATAAACAAAGTCCAAACCCACTGTGATCAAGTCCGTTCAGACTCAAAGGGACCTGGTAGAGGGTTGCCACACTCTAAGGATTGATGGAGCTATTCACCAAACTCGGGAGGATACTTTCTTTGACAGGGTCTGTTCCCTGCCAAAGAGAAGCCTAGCAAGAAGTGAATAATTGGGTTTAACAGGGTCTGCTTGTAACCTTCTGTAGCAATGAGGTTCCACTGCATCGATGGGCATTCTGACTGAATTGATTGATTCTTTTTGTGATCTAATAGATTCATAAACAGTTATTCATAGAACTCTATTTTTAATAGAGACTACAGTTTTTTTTAGCTTTTATCAGGGAGGAAGGAATAAAAAGGAACTTAATAGTATAAAAGTTGAATTGGCAAAAGTTATGTGACAGATATATTTGTGATAAACACCCCCAAAAAGGAAATAAAGAGAGAAGCTACTGAGATTGCTTATGTATACCCTTATATAATTTGGGTCCTTGGTTTGGAAGTTTAGGGTTAGTTTCAAAACATAAATACACACTAATCTGAAAGGACAACAGAGTAGCATAAACATGTCTATTGTTTGTCTGCCTGCCAAGCAAAATCAAAGGAAGGCATAGACAGAGAGAACGAGCCTGACAGCAGTCCCCTTTCAACCGCTCCAATTGTGCTGTGTTGGAGGTCTAGTTTGCAGGGTACAGAGCACTGTAGTGGGGGCCCAGGTGCTTCTGGAACACAGAAGTGATTCTATAGTTGATATCAAAACCAATGCGTGAAAAACATCTAAATTATGTTTTAAAAGGAATCTACCATTTTATCTTTTAACCTTAGGCCTTCCCTAGCCATGCAGAAAAATCAATCTTGGCTAATCCACTGGCCAAGAAAAGGGGAAAAGAACAGATGAAAGCCAGGAATTAAACAGCTGCTTGAAGGGGTATCAGAGGAAGGTGATCCAAGGGCTCACTAGCAGGAATAGAGGTGCAAAGGGCTGGATTTAGGGACTCCCTTTGTCCACTTTCCTAGGCGGGTCACTAGCTGAAAAGACAGAGGACATGGTTACCTTACATTGAAGCTCAGAGGTCTTAGAACAACAGCAAAGTATAGGTTTCTGAGGCCATAATTCCTTGATATTTCTTTGCTGAAAGTTGGAAAAACCTCATCTGTCTTCCATCCTCAGCAGAATATAGCTCTATTGTTTCTCTAGTGGCTTGAAAGCTACTGTGATGCTGCAAGTTATGCTTAAATTTTTTCAAATACCAGCAGGGTTATCACCGATGGGGGGCAAGTTTCAGTGGAACTTGCTGAATAAGACAGACTAGGAATAAGTGTGTGTGTGTGAAGTTTTATACAGTAGACCATCAATTTTACACTCACAATCTGTACACATTTTGCTTTATTTAATTCATTGCAGTTCCCTCAATGGAACATCACTTTATCCTACTTGTTTTGTTTCCATTCTGCCTTAAAAAAAAATCTTTCTGAACGTTGTTCTTGATTTGCCCTTTTGATCGCAAATGATTTCTTACTCTAAGGTGTGCATGCCTCATTAGTGTTCTTGCTCCCTGATATATTTGTCTATTGTTTGACTGAAAATTGAACCATAGCAATGAGTATAGTTCTAGACCTGAAATGTGATTAAGGGCCATCATTTCAGGGGTTCTACTAGGCTCTAACTGACCAATAATCTTGGTCTTTTTTATGATTTCCAGTTTTCTCCAATTTTATACGGGGCCTTTCAGCAGAGATGGTAGTAGTTGCTGGGCACCATTTAGTCATTCTGGCCCCAGAGTGATGGAGTCTAATGTTGGCATGGACTATTAGTTCGCTGGACTAATTTTTTTTGTCTTCAGTTTTTGCCATTCTTTATTCTTCCTGACAGGGAGCGACTAATAGTTACACCTTACATGGTTGTTTGCTGTGTTAGTCTGGGTTGACTAGAGAAACAAATCCAGAGATACTTATATGTGTATATGAGAGAACTTTATATCAAAGAGCAATTGTACATTAAGAAAATATCCCAGCCCAGTCCAGATCAAGTCCATAAGTCCAATATTACCCATATGTCAATACTAGTCTATAAATTTCACTATAGACTCATGCAGTCATGCAATAACGCTGAATGCAGGAAGATGACAGGCCAGCGGGTGGAAAGTCTTATGGATTCTAATGCTTGTGGAAGCAACTCAGCACTGGCATAGGTCTCCACATGGCTCCTCCAGTTCCAGGGCTGTAGTGTAGCTCCATGTAGGTGGTCAACAGGAATGTTTCACAAGAAGCTTGTGTGTATCTGGCCTCCCGTGAGCTATTTATCTCCATGGTGCCTCCAAAGGAGGTCATCAAGTTGCAACCTGATTGACAGACTAGACTCCACCCTTCTTCAAGTTGATGTCAGATTATGTAACTACCACAGTCACCAACTTTTAGACCCCAGTTGCTACCCATCAATAACAAAAACCAAACTCACTGCCATCAAGTTGATGCCAACCCATAGTGACCTTGTAGGACAAGATTCAACTGCCCCTGTGAGTTTCCAAGTGGGATGTAAAATATGTTTGCTCCTTAAAAGCAAGGGTTATTAAACTTCATCGAACATACTTTGGGCATGTTGTTGGATGAGATGAGTCCCTAGAAAAGACATGATGCTTGGTAATGTAGAGTAAGCCCCTCCACAAGATGGATTGACATAGTGGCCCGAACATTGTGCTGGGACATAACAATAATTGTGAGGATGGCCCAAGATCAGGCAGTGACATGGAGTCACGATGAGTTATGAGGCAGAACTGACTTGATGGCATCTCACAACAACAAAATTATTCCCTGACATTCAGCTCCTGAGTGCCCAGGCCCAACAACATACACCCTCAAGATGTTTGGTTATATCTAAGAAGTTTTAACTACCTATATGGAGATATTTGGAAAAAAAAACTCTCTTCCTTGAAATCGATTCTGACTCATAGAGACTGTACATTTTATGAGATCATAAAGCCTTATGTTTCTCTGGGAGATATACTGGCAATTAAGGTAAATACCTATGTATACATACTCTCTGACCAGCCTATATGTATTTCTGTGAGTATATCTATCTTGGTGATCTACTTGTAAAAAACAAATATTGGCAAGTGAAAATCATGATTAGCAGTGGAACATTGATATAATGCTGGAATATGAGCCACTCCGATTGGAAGATACTCAAAGTCAGACTGAAGAAGAGCTGTCTTCTCAAATAGAGTTGATCTTAATGGTATGGAGGGGGCAAATATTTGGGGCCTATCACTAATGATGTCCAACAACTCACAATAAAAGGAAGCGGCTGAAAATTTCCATTAATAATCAGAATGTTCAATGAATGAAGTATTAATGTAGGAAAATTGGAAGTTGTCAAGCTTGAA